GACAATGAGGCGAATATATGCTGCTTTATTTAAAAGGTTTAATTAAGTGAAGATACATGCAGCTCATATGAATCCAGGACTTTTCACATCCCCCCACGCCCGTGAAGATTAAAGTGGCAGTTTCAAAATTTCCCACTAGAGGGCGCACTTTTTTTTTTTTTTTTTTTTTTTTTTTTTAATTCTCAAGGAAAAAGCCTGGGTTCTAGCCCTGAGGTTCAGAATTGGAGTGTCCTTTCCCAGTTTCTGTTCAACCTGGGACAAGTGCCTTGAACCCTCAAGTTCTCTCTCCATCAGCCCACACTTAACCCTCATGGCCGTCACTGAGATTGTTCTGCTCACAAACCTGCATCGATTAGTTTTCTGTTTCAGTTATTTGTCCTTAGCTAATTTTAACAGAAATCAAATCCAAGTTTGATGCTGAGAAAAAACACTGATTTCCTCAGTAAAAGGATTTGTCTTCCCATTTCCCCCTTGCTGTGGGGAAAAGTTCCTTCAAGCAATTACAGCAGCTTTCCCAGAATCAACAGGAACATCCCGAGCTTGGAAAACCTAGCGGGTCCCCTCTCTTTAGCGTGTTGAGTTTGAGGATACATCCCTTTCCTCTAAGTTCTTTATTCTGTATATAAGCATTTCCGATCAGACATAGACTCGCACTCCAGGGCAACCGTCCCTTCAAAGAACGACCCATCCGAGACACCGAGATCATCAGGAAGGTCCCTGACCTGTGTCCTTCCAGGCGCCAAATCTCCACCCAGGACTTCTCTTCCCTCCTCTTTGCTCCTCTCTTGGCCCTAAATAGTCGTTCCTTCTGTTTGCATGTCACAAGCGTCCCTTTGTTCTTTTTCTTCTCGCCCTCATTCTTGTCAATATTTCCCTCCCCAAACATCACTTTAGCCCTTTCACACAGACACGTGCACACACCTACCAGCGTGTCTCTACACACACACACACCTACACATCTACACACACACATATCTACACACACCTACACACACACACATCTACACACACGCCTATACACACACACACATATCTACACACACATATCTACACACATGCCTACACACACGCCTACACACACATATCTACACACACGCCTACACACACACAGACACATCTACACACACGCCTACACACACACACATCTACACACACACCTATACACACATATCTACACACACGCCTACACACACAGACATATCTACACACACACACATATCTACACACACACATATCTACACACACATATCTACACACATGCCTACACACACACGCCTATACACACACATATCTACACACACATATCTACACACACACATATCTACACACATGCCTATACACACACACATATCTACACACACATATCTACACACATGCCTACACACACCTACACACACATATCTACACACACGCCTACACACACACAGACATATCTACACACACACACATACACACACACATATCTACACACATGCCTATACACACCTACACACACATATCTACACACACGCCTACACACACACAGACATATCTACACACACGCCTATACACACACACACATCTACACACATGCCTATACACACACACACATATCTACACACACACACACATCTACACACACACATCTACACACACACACATCTACACACATGCCTGCACACACACATATCTACACACACACACATACACAAGCACACACACATATATAATTTTGTAAAGACAAAAATTACTTATGTGTCTAAGTGTTCAGAGATGCAATGTGACCTTTGAAGGTGTCACCTCTCCAAGGAACACAGAGGAAATTGTCAATATGACTGAAGCAAAAAGACCCGGCCACCAGCTATTGCCCCATTTCCGGCTGCTCACAGGCAGCCTTCACTGTCTGAGAATGAACAAGTTCATTTTGCTTATTTCTTAAGAAAGGTGTGAGAAGCCTTCTGGAGCTTCAGTTTTATGCAAATAGAGACTCAAGTAGAAGGCTGGAGGGGAGGGTTAGTTATTTATATCCCACAGGCATTACACATGTGGAAGGTGAGGCTGTGCAGGAGCCTGAGGCTCCCGAGTGGATGTTCTCACAATGAGCGCATCTTTGCAGCCAGCTATTTTTGTGGCATACAGTTCCCATATCTGTTAGATTCTTTCTCCACACAGGCAACTGTATAAGCATTCAGCAATTTCAGAAAGACCTCGGCTATTCCTCTCCGGGAGGGGGGGGGGCGTTCCTGGCCTGTTCTCTTCCTGGGTACTAAACTTACTACCACCTTGAGCTTCCAGTAGATTCGCTCCTGCCCGGTCCTAAACAGGAACTGCACCCATCATTAAAGGCCCTTTCATCTTCACACTGACTCCCAGAATTCACAAAGAGAATGAGGGTCCTCCAGGAATTATTGCCCCTGCTGTGCTGCTGGCTCACGGTCCCTGCTGACATGGAGAACTCTCCAGTTTGAAACGGACTTGGATCACTTCAGGAAATCGCTTCCCCCCGCCCCGCCCCCCATAGGAAACTGATCATCCCCATCAGAATGTTTCCACAGCACAACTGATGACGACACACTGAAATTCAGTTTTAACTGGGACATAAATTAAAACTCAATTATCCTTTAAGGGTAATTGGGGTTATAAAACCAAGTGAGTCCCTGAGTTGTCAGCACTGCTGGAGCGCAGTTATCTGAGGAAAGGGTCTGTGTTCTGTGCTCAAAGCAGACCTTCCGATGAAGCAGTCGGGGATAAGGAAATCTATTCCATTCACATCATAGCATCATAGCACAGCACCTCAGGGCACGGCGTGGCATGGCGTGGCATGGCACAGCACATCACAACATGGCCCAGCACTACAAAAAACACGGCACTGCACGGCACTGCATGGCGTGAGACTGACCAGCACAGCCTGGTACCACACAGCACAGCACAGTGTCCAGAAAGCACAGGAACCAGAGCTGCAAACCTGGAGAAACGTGGCAAAGATTCTAGAATGTGTTGAGACTAATTAAATCACACTGCATCTGGCTGGGAAGAGGTGATCGGCAGTGCTGACGCCTGTGAAGCATTCAGTGGTAGAACAAGGAAGGGGTTGCTACCTGGACTACCCCCTGAACCTGATTCTCCTGGCTGGGAACCCAACAAGTTCCCAGCAGGGCTTGGGTTGCAGTGTGTACATCATCAAGGCCTTAAGAGGAAGATGGACTTTTTTTTTTTTTTTCAGCAACAAAGAAAAAGATCTCCATGCGCTGTCATAAATCAAGTGCTCAAGGAGGGCTTGTTGCTAGAGGAAGCCCTGGGTTGCTCTGTGCACAGGGATTGCCCACACAGTTGCAGACATGCCAGGACCACCCCGGGATGCTGCAGTTTCGTGTACCCGCGAGAACTTCCCAGCCCCATGCCTCTCACATTGCAACCCCCCCCCATTCTTCACTTCCAGAAAGGGCTCTCACTCCTACCTCCCTGAGTACCCATGCCTCTCACATTGCAACCCCCCCCATTCTTCACTTCCAGAAAGGGCTCTCACTCCTACCTCCCTGAGTAGTTGTCCTCGGCCTCTGTGCACTGCTCACGTATGTGACCCCTGTGGATGCTCAGCACATGGTCGTGAAGCTTCTCTCTGTCTGCCTGTATCGTGTTCCATTTTGCTTTTCCACAGGTATGGGTGATTGGGCACATAGTAGGTGCTCTCATTAAACGATACCAAACATCACCCACCAGTGCAGCAGCCCAACTCCAGGCTTCCAATGTCTGTATCCTAAAGGTAAACATAGCCATAAAGTATTGACCACACAGAGGGTTGGAACAAGCCCAAAACCCTTGCAAAATCAAACTGGTTTCATTTGAGGACATCCGCCCCTGCAAGCAGATCTCCAGCCATGGGCAGCATAAGAAGGCAGGGTATAGTTTCCAGCTGAATACTCTCTCCACTATGCATCAGTATCTTCAGATCCCTAGAGAGTCATGAGAGAGCGAGGAAAGCCAGGCTCATTTCTATCTCCCCTGGGAAACCACACCTAAAGACATCCAAGGAAAGCACAATTTCTAATCTGGCTTTTGTAACCGTCTTTCATAATTCACTTTCCTATCTATTGCCTCTCAAAACTACTGGAGAAATAGGTATAAACAGCGTCAACAAAGGATCAGAACTTAATTCTCTACGACGAAGGCAAGTATACATTATAAATAGCGAAGCAGCCGGCTGGAACCATGTAGCCAGCCACTTACCCAGTTAAGGGATTTGAATGACATCATACATAACCCTGCAGAGGGTATTGCTAGCCAGCTGGTATTACTTCTCTCTCTCTCTCTCATACACACACACACACACACACACACACACACACACACACACAGAGTTATGCAGAAAAATATGGCCAACGGGGAATCAGTGTATGCCTCACGCTGTTTCCTTGGGGTTGAGGAAGTGACAGCTAGCCAGCTTTGTTGAAAAATAAGGTCTTTCTATTTTTCAGTTGGTTCCAGAGCTCAGCATAGTCTCTTTCCTTGCACAAAGCATGAGACAGTGTCCTAATGGGACCCAGCCCATTGCTGCCTGCCTTCTATAGGTTTTAGGAAATGAGATCATTGTCCTGGCTTGGCAGCTAGGAGAAGGGGTCAGTGGAGCGCGCTGCCTTTCAAACTAGTTTAGCCTTGTCATCTCAAGGTTAACATTGTTGGACTTGCTGGAGATGATCTTTTCTTTCTGATTTCTTTTTTTTCTCAAATTTTTATTTGCCCTACAATATAAAATCGCTCCCTTGTCCCACTTAGATCCTCTAATCCTGGAAAGGTGTGACACAGGCATGTGTACCTTCATGCCCTGTGGAAAGTTAATCAGAGAACAGCTCCTGTTTGCTATGGCAGCATCAGTATTTAATGTCTGCTAACCCTGTCAGTAACACACATTCTTTTAAGGGGGGGAAAAAAAAGGGCTTCTGTGCTCCAGTTTTTAACAGCAAAGGTATGATGTTATTTGTCACCGTGCCCAAAAAAGTCCTTACTCGATAACTTTGCCAGAAGAGGGAGAGAGAGAGGCAAATGCTCCCCAGCTGTTTCCTGTCTACAGTGTCTGTGTTTTGTAGATAAATGTGAGGATTTTCTCTAAATCCCTCTTCTGTTTGCTAAATCTCACTGTCACTGCTAAATTCGGAGCAGATAGAGCCTGCGCAATGGAATAAAGTCCTCAAAATTGAAATGTGACATTGCTCTAACATCTCCCATCTCTCTGGATTTCTTTTTGCCTCATTATTCCTGCTCACCAATTCACTTCCAGACTTTGTACTGCAGAAGCAATGGGAAAAATCAGCAGTCTCCCGACTCAATTATTTAAGTGCTGCTTCTGTGATTTCTTGAAGGTAAGTGTCTCTTATTCTTTGGACTCATTGGGGAATTGTATTTAAACTGTGCACTGTTTTCTTTTGCCGAGAATTGTTATCCACTTTAGAATTTGCATTGTTTCAGAACTGGGAGTTATTTACAAGTTGCTGAATGTGCAGTTCTGTGGGAGCCGTGAAAAGCGCTCCGGGAGGTGAATGCAATTGCAGAGCTATCTGTGCGGGTAGAACTATTGCAAGGTACTTATGCTAAACCCTCCACTTCCACAGGGCTTCCGCGCTGCGCTGCCGTTTTAAAAGGTTCCTTTAAATCTTGCCTATGGCTCGGGGCTAGAAAGCAAGGGTATGAACTTGGGGTGTGCTTTTCCTTTCACAGGTGAAGGCGTTTGCTTTTTAAGACCATGTCCGTGTGTGTCTGTCTCTGTGTTTGTGTAGAATTCGTCAGGATTTTATTTACGAGGCATGTCACAGACTGAAAGTTACATTTTAGACAATAAGAAAGCTTTTTAAATGTGCTTTTTGGAGCCAAGAATCAGGAATTCTTTGCACTTATGCCCAGAAAGTCAAAGTTAAAGGGAAGTTTAATGTGCTTTTCTGAAAAAGAGCTCTTAGACAACTTGCTGTCTTTGCATATTCAGAAAATTTAAACAGATCCACGCTGTCTGTGCTCGGAAGGCAGGAGCATTCTGGCGGCTGCTTTTCCAACTTTGCTCTTTGGAAGGGGACTTTCGTGGACTGAGTTTGGTTTTGGATTTCGGGCTGCAAGCCTCTGCTCTTACACTGGTTGCAGTTAAGACTCTTTAGGTGAATCTGGCTGCGGCTGCCGCTGTCAACGCACTGACTTCTTGTTTCCGATCACTGGCTCTAGTTCAAGTTTCCATTCTCAGCAAAATTATATCCTTGCAGAGTTGTGTTTTTTCAATTTGCAAGCACTTTTAAGCCGCTGTCACTGGCTCCTTGGAGGCAGTTGCCGGAGGGCTTAATTCATAAAAGATCCCAGCCTGAGTGCAGCCGTTTCTTCTTTGCTGCTTTCAAACGCTTCATGGCTAGGACTGCTTAGGCAAATAAGTGGCTTGGGAGTTAAGGAGACATCCTTGTCACGCACCTAATTCTGCCCTCCTTGAGATGCGAGCAGGCTCCAGCCACCTTACAGGAATGAAGTCCGCGTTCCTATACGCTGTGTGGTCTGGCAGCTGGGCTCGTGTCTCCCTATTTAAAGGGCTCATCAAAGACACTGTGGAATGTTACCTCCGGTATTCATTGCAAGTTTGGAAAATCATCTCCAAATGAACTTTCTCTCCTTACTGGAAGTGCAGAACAGTTGAGAAGTGGAGGTAGCAATATGCTTCAACTTTTTCCTGTACTTGCAGCAGGAGACTGTTGAAGGGGGCTGCTGAGTGGTGGTCTTTGAAATGTCACTCAAGGGGTTAGAGGTCAACTGCCTAGAGCCGAGCCATGCACATGGGGCACAGGCTGGCTTTGTACTTTAAGTCTCAAGGTATTTCCCAGTTCTTGAGCCAGGGGAAGGTGGGGGAGGGAGGAAAGAAGCTGGAACTTGGATCACTATTCTGGGTAGCTAGGATAGATAGTGGTACAATGGGAATCAGCAACTGCACTGGAGATGGGGGGTGGGAGTGGGAAGTGGGGGTGTGGGGTAAGGGGGTGGGGGTGGGGTGGGGGGTGGGGATGGGGGGTGGGGGTGGGGGTTGACTCAACTCCCAGCTGTGCGATTTGCTCATTGTTTGAATGGACAAAAGGCAGTTTACCCAGGCTCATAGCATACCTGCCTGGGTGTCCAAATGTCACTAGACGCTTTCCCAAACCCCACCCACAAAACAGCACATGTTTTTAAGTCCTCAGTTTTCTATTCGCATCGGCCTCATAATACCCACCCTGACCTGCTGTGAAAAAGACCAGGGACATACCAAAATGGCTGCACCTCCAGTGAGTACCTTCTCATGACTCTTGTCCTCACACTTCAACTGGACATTTTCACTGTTGGTCAGACATCTGGAATCCATTGATACCCCACTTGTTTAACACAGAAAGGCCTTTGGAAACGTGGGTTTGTGGGTGGATTCTTGAGGAAAGCGTTGTGAGTTCGGGACTGGGTTATTTTTGCCCTCTCTTTCTCAGGTTCTGCCTTGGCCTCTTCCTATTACTTTTATGCCTCCGCCCTCTTCGTTTTCCTTGTGGTTGATGAAATAAGGGGCAGAGGAAATGGAGAACATATGGGGAGACTTGTTTTGAACTTTTCTTGGGCCCCAAGCAAGTTTGGTACTGTTTTCTGTCTGGGGACACGGTGTGATAAACTCTAGCTCCATGTGGGCGTGCTGGACTAGTCACTGAGCTAAAGGGAAATGTAGCAGAGGGCCTAGGATCGTAAATACTGATGCTTACCAAGCAGGGCTTTTCAATATAACTCCACGCAGAAAGGAGAAGAGTGGTTAAAGCAATTTTTAACTTCTAGAGATGGCTATGTCTTGCTAGATGAAAATGCACTCTCCCTTAAAAAAACGATTAAAATGTAGTTTGTGACAGCTCATGACAGTCTAAATTTACAGAGGCTGTGAGATTGAGTAATAGTTCCTGTGGAGTTGCTCCAAAATAACCATTGCAGGTGCCTGGCCTTCAGCGCTATCTGAAAGTCGGCAGGGATGGATGGGCCGTGTTCCAGAAGTGGGTTTGCTGGAGTATTCTTCATCCCGGAGCTGATGCTGGCAGTGTGTGGGGTTGTGTTCTCTGAGACAAATTATGGGGATTACAGGGCTACCCTTTCACAAAGAACCATGACACCCTGTTGGATTGGATTTGTTCAGGATTCCACGAGAAATCCTAAAGGTGAAACTCCCCTTCATTCCTTTCATAACTGAGAGAAATGGGTAGATGTTAGCTCATTCCTGGGAACTCCTCCGTCTTTGGTTGTATAGAGATGGAGGGCTTCCATGCAAACTCCTACTGAGAAAATGTACTAAGGGCTTAACCCAGGCATCCCTCCTCTGTAGCGGCAAGGCAAGCTCTCTTTCATGGTGACATGTATGTAAGTAGAGACCACTCTTCCCATCTTCAGCTGCTTTACAAACATTATTAAATATTTGCCTTGTGCTATCAAGAAGCAGGGGCTTGGGGCCCATTGCCCCCCTCCAAATGCTAGGCTGAAGATCTAGGCACAAAGCAGGAAATGTGTTTCAAATAATTGAGCAAACTTTGCCAGGGATGCCGAGCCGTTAGGTTGAGAGTTCACACAGGACAGGGAACGTGGCCATAAACAAAATGCCTGGGTCTCATTCTCCCAACCAGATGGGATTGAATGAACGTTCCCCAACTGTGAGGTTCAAAAAAAAAAAAAAACAACAACAACTTTAAAAATTATAGCTCCCGGTGCACCTCCAGGACCCCTTTCATAGAGCAGGTCACCTATGCCATGGTGGTGACTCTTTCCAAGCTGCTAGGCATATATGCACGTGAAAGAGGTGTGGCTGTCACCTCGGGAACCACCCTGGAAGGAAGCTCATGCTGACTCCACAAGTAGCAATGCGGAAAGTATTTGTCTGTCTTCCTATCCATCTGTTTCTTAGAACGAAGACAGACTTGAGTCACAGGAACCCTGACTTTGGCAGGGATGATATCTGGCTATCAACCACTGACTAACGTTTGCCAAGCAGAAGTCCCTTGATGGATTCTGTTATAAAATTGATAGGATGACCCATGAGGGCCTCCAGAGATTAAGTCAGAATTCCTGTTGCTCAAGAAAAGGCTCTTGCAAGTTTTCAGGCCAGTGCCCTGCACGTAGAAAAGCAGTCTCCGTGTGGACCTCTCTGGTAGCAGACTTGAAGAGAGAGGTTTGGGATGTAAGAACTGCTTCCATTTCATGTTAAAGCCCACAAAATGATTTCTAGACTCCCTGACCATCCTCCCTTTCCTGCTTGTCACTCTCCCCCAAGGCAAGCATAGAAACTAGAAACCTCTTCCCAAGGCAGCCATAAAACATGACATTTGCTTCTAACCTCCCCAGACTTTCTGTAGAGGAGCTGGCCAGAGCAAATGCTGCCTGCCTGCCTGACTGGTTGTGGATTATTGGCCCTTCTTCCAGGGAGGGCCTGAATCCTGTACCCAGGGTTTAGGAATGTTTCCCAAAGGGGCAGAGAATAGTCAGGAGAGGCAAGACATGCTGGGTTTCCCACCTCAGCCTGCTTTTTTTGTGATAGAGGCGGAGGCTATGACTTTCACGGTGTTTAAAAAAAGGCATCAGACCTTTCTGTCACTGTGCTTTCGGGAGATGATTTCATTCCTAAATCCTCACGTTTTTCCTGTTTCTGGATTGTTTGTCTGTTTCCCACTTGTGGCTGTGTTAGCTGCTAATATTCTCAGGTAAGCTTCCTAGTCTCCCCACCTTACCCCCCTCCCCCACTCCCTCCTCCACCCTTACTCTGGGAAAAGCTGTAATGATGTATTTGCACAATATTGTTCTAGCCAGTATAATCTTCTTAATCTATTGACAGAAAATGATGTCCTGGTTAATTTAGTATTTTGATAAGTAATAAATATAATGAATATATACACCATCTGCAGACAGCCATCTTTTAGAGCATTTAAATTAAAACAGTGTCACTGCAAAGCTGAGCAAATTTAACTTACGATAATTAAGATGTTTTATCGGGCTCTCAAAATTACATGGGAATACCCCCCCACTAAAATAACGGCCATCTTTTGTTACCCAGTAAATTTTGTAGCCCTTTTACCCCATTTATTTGTAATAAAAACTCAAAAAAAAGTAACAAAACACAACACAGGAGGACTTGTGACTTCTGAAGATTAAAGGGACTACACGTGGTTGTCTGATGTCAACCGCCCAGTGTCTCACTGCTTCAGGACCCAGGACGCCTGCCTAACCTTCCCTTTTTTCCCCCTGCAGATGAAGACACACATCATGTCTTCTTCACACCTCTTCTACCTGGCACTCTGCTTGCTCACCTTCTCCAGCTCTGCCACAGCTGGACCAGAGACTCTCTGTGGGGCTGAGCTGGTGGATGCTCTTCAGTTCGTGTGTGGACCAAGGGGCTTTTACTTCAGTGAGTAGCTCTCCTGTACCCCATGACTCCCATCAATCATCCTTCTTGGGGCTACTACAATTCTGAAGTATATGGTTTTGTGGATTTACAACCACAGGGGATTGTGTGACTGACTGAGTGAATGCCCAGGGCTGACAGCCTTCCTCAGCCCCTGAGACCTTCCTTAAATATGCATTGCCAGGCTTTGGCAGATTTGAGAGGCTTAAGGTGGAATTTTCTTCCTTAAGAGTTTGTCATTGAGGCTTCCTCTTGAGCCTTCCTCCAGTCAGTTTTTCTGGTCTTCCCCCACTATCCTATCCCTGCTAATGAAGGAATAGGACAGAGCAGCCCCAGAGTATTGGAGATTCTGCTCTTAGACCTTGGAGTACGTATGTAAACATGCAGAAGACATGCAGGGTTACATTGAGTGTTCTGTAATTAGAGTAAAATGATAAGGATCCTCCCACTCCAAATTCATGTAAACTTGAGAAATGAATACATGGAGGACAAATTAGATGCCTTCATTTGATACAAAGTTACCATGAGTGGACAAAGGTGATCTTCACCGAGAAGTGTTTGCAAATATATATATATGCTTTCTCTAACTGTGTACTGGAAGGGCATACCAATATGCCCTCTTTGCAAAGTGACCTTGATTTTTTGCAAAGTTTACGCATACAAGTCTGAAGATGGGCAAGGGAAGTATTAAGGAGACGGGCAAAGTGTGTTTGCCATGATTTTGGCAAAATAAAATAAAAAGACAAGTGACAGAATATTATCTAAGAGTTAAATGTGCTTTTAGCTGTTTGAGTGGGAAAATGTTCACTTTGTGCTTCCTGCCAGTTCTTTATTCGAGTAAATTCCCTTAAAATTCTGGCAATGAAATAGTCCCATCTAGTTCTCTGTTGCAGGGTAAATGAGTAAGTTCATTGGGTGGGTGATTTTTTTTTTTTTTAATACCAAACTTGTTCCATCTTTACAAATATCCTATAGAAGGTGAATATGAGCCATCAACACGACTGAAAAATGAATTGTGATCATTCTATAATTCGCCACAATAGATCCATGTATCCATTTTACAAAGTGTGATTCCCAAGGACTTTGTCTTGCCTTGGAAACCCATTTGTGCAACTTCCTTTCATCTAGTCCACTAATAATTTCCAAGCCTGAAAGTGCCTCTACTTTAGTACTAGGTTGAATTGAAAAAGTCATCGTGACATCCTCCAGGATTTTCATGCCTGGTTCATCGCTACCTGGTTCTTCTATACCTGCGACAATGAAAAGTAAGACGAGAAATTACGACTCAACCATAGATAACTGACGAATACTCATACATGCTCACACAGACACTTTGAGCATTGAACACTGACACTGGGAATCGATTTGAATACGCTGAAAAGGTTTTTGCATTTGATCACAAGGGTAAAATTTTAGGAAAGGTGTTTAAGTTCTATTTTAGTAACTTAAAATACGAAGAATCCATATAGGCACTTGATGTTTTAAATAGGAGACTGGTAATGTGTATTCATCATGGTTTTGGCAAAATAAAATGAAAAGAACAAGGGATAGCATATCATCAAAGGGCTCTGAACAAAAAAAAAAGTGGCTTTGTGAAACATTAACTATTGTCAATTCTGTCATTAGAAGTATTTCTGTCTTTAAAATCACATTCGGCCTTATAGAATTACATGATTTAACCTATATCCCCTGCCTGTCTTTGTTCCTTAAGCACAAAGGTATTTTTGATAGCTTTCTGTTCAACACCACAATCTTCTCTACCTGAGAAAAGCTGATCTTTTAAAATTTCTTTAGTTTACTCCAGAACACTGGGGGGGGGGGGATTTGTTGTGCAGTAGCACAAGGTATAACTGAGATGACCAGAGAGGAATGACAGACTGACCTTGCCTTTAAAACACTCCAGTCTAGACATTGGTTAGAAAAAAAAATTGTGTATCATAGTAATCACAGTATCATATGCTGTAGGAGAAAAGAAGCTTGGGAGAAGAGTTTATATTCGTAGCACTTTTCCTGAATATCCTATCTCATTTATGACAGGTCTTCACAGGGTTCTGCCCTCTAGGTGAACCCCTCAAAGGCCATAGCTACTTATTTTTGAAGATCCGTGTCAAGTTCAGTGTCTGACTGATACAGTAGTGGCAGGTATTTATCAACTTGGACTGGCAAGATTAAATCCAAGTAAACTTAATAGATGTGCTTCTGTGGGACTCTCATAGTAAGAACCACCAAGAATTATGACTGTCAAATATTCTGTGACATACTGCTCACCTCATGCCTACCCAGTTACTTGATGAAACTGGTTTGCTTCCTCCCCTCCCCCATTGAATGCAGTGTATGTTTATCAACAAGAAATCAGAAGCTGGACTCTGGCCATCCCAAAGATACATTTGTGGACTGTTTTGTTCCTGAACCAATTATTCTTATAGGCATTAACTGTTGCCAACAACCTTTATTGAGTTTCCTTTTCATCTTGAGATTTACTGTGAGTGGCAGTCAGTGCTAAGCATCAAGACCTTTTACAGGGAAGCACTCTCCACACATCTGTCCCTCCAATTGATTGACACCTACTGGGGTTTCCTCTTCTTTTCAAAGTTTTACTGCACCCATACCATTTTATTCTATGCTGTTTCAACTCTACTTTGGAAGTATGTATTTCTCTTAATAGTGAAGAGAGTGTCTAATCTTAGTTTGATATCTAAACATTTGAAAGAAATTTGCCTCTATCTCTATTTTTTTGAATAAAACAAAATAACAAGTATGGGTTTTTTATTCTATTAGACTTGTTCTAGTAATTTGTTTACTTGGTAATTCTTCCCCCCCCCCCTTTTTTTTATTTAATTTTGAAACAAGGTTGTTTTACGTATCAATCCCAGTTCCCTCAGCCTCCCCTCCTCTCCTATCACCCCCACCAAATCCCACCCCATCCCCTCTCTGCTCTCCAGGAAGGGTGAGGCCTTCCATGTGGAATATTCACAGTCTGTCATATCATTTGGGGCAGGGCTTAAGCCCTCCCCCATGTGTCTAGGCTGAGGGAGTGTCCCTCTATGTGGAATGGGCTCCAAGAGTCCATTCATATACTAGGGAGAAATAGTGACCCATTACTTCATGTAAATTGGCCCAGTTTTGCAAATGGGTGCACATTCTCCTTATGCCCAAGTTCTGTGGGAGCACAATTTCCTGGATGATGCTGTGTGGCTGCCTTGACAGCATAAGCCGAACAGTTGATCCCAAATTCATGCAGCTTCCCCAGACAGAGTGAAGTGCCCAATGAGGGGCTAATTAAGGGCTCTTCCCTGCACACCATACAAAGAGCACGCCAATCAGACTTGTGCTCTCTTGATCCTGTAAGGAGAGTGATGCCATCGTGAAGGCAAAATGTCACTGGGTAAAAACCTGTATTGTCACCTGCTGGAACCCACACAGAGGGTGACCCATTGTAGCCACTATATCTTTGTTTTGTCTGAAGCTCACCAATGGGTAAGATGAAATGGGAGAAGTTAAGTTTGCCATAGGTATAATTTTTGACAGCTATGGCGATTAACCATTTTAACATGCTATTTGGGAACTTCTGGAATTTTTTTCCCCTTTGAGGTATTTAAAAAGTTGACAGGCAACCAACCATCTTGAATGGTTTCAATTAAGAGCAACCAGAAGAAAGAGAGGTTCTGGGGTCCTTTCTAGTTTAAGAGTCTATAAACAGTCCCTTAAATAAACTGTATATGCTTTACCTCGGGCGGTCTTGGGGAAAGGAGAAGTAAATCAATTAGAAAGGAAAGTTAGAAACCCTTTCAGCTACCCAGATTTATGGCTTTTGTAAACCATCCCTACAATGCATGCTTATTAAGAACAGATCTGAATAAACGAATGGCATCCTTCATGTGTCAAAGCACACTGTTTTTAAAGCGTTTAAGTGAAACTTTGCAATTAGCTTTCATTGTTATTGATTGCACAACCTTCCTAAGTTTAGGTTATTATTATGAACTTAGGTTTCTTCCCTTTGATATACAGGACTCAGGAAACTACCCCCAGACCTGTCAATCACTATTTATGTGACTTTGGCAGGCGTTTAAACTTCCTGGGCTGAAATGTCCTTGTCTATAAAACAAGGGAATTTTGTTAAAGTAAATGACATCTAACTTTAACAGATGATGTCTAGGCTGAGACCAACAAGCATCCCTGCTATTAAAGAAAGGAGAAACCTGGCTTTAACTAGTGACCGAGGGACAATTAGCTTCTTTTGTCTTCTTGACATCATTTCAGTTGGTCCCCAAAGGTAGGCAATCTGCTCACTTCACGAAATGAAAGCCAGCTGTAATTTCGGTTTTACTTCTTCAAGGACAGAACAGAAACTCAGACACAGCCACAAAGTCCCAGGTCATAAGCCTGAGGTTGCCATTTCTGTTATCAAGGACGGCCTGATGACTGTCATCTTTGCAGTTTCACATTGCCTCAACTTTCAGAAGCAGTGAGGGAGTCTGTTCATTAGCATGGAAGAGGACTCTATGAATCTATTAGATACTATCAGCTAGAACCTGATAGGTACAGCAGCCGATTCTATACAACCTGTCCAAGGAAAGAGAGGGGATTCAAAAGGACACACCACTGATGCTAGCTTTGCTCTGAGCCATGTGGATTGTGAGATCCATCCATGTGCACTTCTTTACACAGCATCCATCTGGGGATTCCAAGCTCACTTTTCTGTGAGTGCTGGTCCAAGTTTGGGAGGGAGTACGTCACTGCCCTTGGAAAAACTGTGCTCTTTGAAATTGATACATGTGGAATTGACCTTGTAACCTTGCCCTCATCAGTACAGAGCTAATAGGCTGCAGATATTGTTTGGGGGGGGGAAGGCACTGAGCCTTTTTATCTTGACCCTCAAATGCTTGCTAATACATTTAAAAATATATCCAAGAAGTCTTGTCTGTGGGACTAAGGAAATGATGGTTTCTGTATGAAAATGGAAAATAGCTTTCAACTTTATGGCATATTAATATCAGTTAAGG